GAGAGAGAGAGAGAGAGAGGCAACCAGAGAGGGCCTGCAGGGGGGTTTGGCACTGTGTTTAGAGTAGTCTCTTGGACTGGGGAGCCTCATCCTCAAATCCCAGGGTCTGAGTCACTTCCTGGCTCCTGCAAAGAGAGCAGAAAGAGTGCAAAGAGTCTGTGTCAGGGTCTGAAAGTGTGTGTGTATGTATGTGTGTGTGTGTGTGTGTGTGTGTGTGTGTGTTACCTATTGGGAACATTTTCTGGTATATTTGTGCCACATTTTTGTCAGCAGAGTGGGCTTAGCTCTCAGTTTGTGGCTTGAGCTAGAATATGTCCACTGGACTTCGATCATCAGAACAAGAAAGGGGAGTTTGGGGGTGGCACAGCATGAGCATGAGGCTGGGATATACGATGTTTTAAACTACTGCAACAATTAGCAACAGGAAATTTTATTTTGCACAATATTTCACAATCAGAAACCTTTTATGTCATATGATGTTCTTTCTTTCGAGATAAAAGTGCATTCTTTTCAGTTTCAAATGCTGCCTTGCTTTTATAACTTGGTGCAGGATTTTACTACAAATCTTCAAAACAGTAGTTCAGAGCTTCTCGATCTATTTTGGATCATGCCTATACTGTATTTTTAGGTCCTGGAAGGCTTTAGTCATGTGAATTTTAGTATGGCATACATTAGTTCTCTCTTACTCTCTCAAGAGTATGGAGATAGCTCCATATGGACAATGACATAGTTAATAAAAAAGGAATGCAACTAACAGTTAGTTTGGGGTTTGTACCCCATGCTGGATAATTTGTAGTGACCACTGCAGACCTCCAATTAGAGAGCATGCAGTTATCCCTTTTCTACTCAGTAGTACAACATGCATTTAATGGCCACATCTCGTTTTCTCACTCAAACTCAACCACCACCAAAATACTGTGTATTCACAATCCATTTTCTACATCTAAAAGAAATAAAAATGCCTCAAGTCCAAACTGGGACATACAACACTGAGCATCTCTTGTCATTCCTCGATGACCTCTATGAAAGGCTTGTACCAGGTAAGAAAAAAAAACAAGTGAGTCAGAATTTTGTATTTGTATAGGACAATGTGGCAGTTTCTCTGGCACGATTCTCTTGGAGAGCAGTTTATAGTCCATACAAGGATGGTGTCACTTTCTTCCACTGTACTCTCCATTCTTAAACCTCACAGATAAATTATTTTCCTCACAGAGGTGGAAAGTTTATGACCACCAGCACCATAATCAGATATCCTTCTTGGACACAATGAATGCTGAATATCATATTATTTACAGAAGCTTTCTAGGGATGGATCTATGCATTACGAGAATTTCTGGACAGGGTTGACTAACACTGTTGTATTTCTACATCTGTAGCTATCCTAAACAAGTATGGTAAATGGACCTGTACTTGTATAGCACCTTTCTAGTCTTCCAATCACTCAAAGCTCTTTTACACTACATGCCACATTCAACCTTCCACACACATTCACACAGTGATGGCAAAGCCCATCAAACAGAAGCTAACGCATTCATACACATTCACAGACCGAGAGAAGGACAAGCAGAAACGAAGGCACACAGCAATAACAATAGATACAACCATTATAGTAGAAGTGACTACTAATGATGATGATGATGATGATGATGATGATGGCGATGATGGTGATTTTTCATTTTGTATTGCATCACTGGAATTACTTTAGTTTAATTTTGTGTGATCCTGAGATGTGTAATAGATGTGTTTTAGTTGCATTAGTGCACTTTGGATGTGAGTATCACAGCTCCATGTTGCTAAAGAGAACGAAACTCAATATAGAAAAATGTGGTTTACCAAGTCCACTTGACTTTGGACATCGGACTCTGTATGAGACTCTCTGCGGTTTAGATTAAAATTTATATTAGATGATGTACAGTATGGCATACCCTGGTTTTCCAGCCACGCTGCCCCACTTCATTTTGGTCAGTATTTCTGTAATATTTCACATACCCCATGTGGTTTGGCTTTCAAGTGTATTATCCTTGGGCTATTTTTGCATCCTGACAAGATGTGTCTGAGTGCTGCTTTTTCTTAGTAAAAAATTACATGTTGGCTTTTCAAACAGCCTGTGTAAAGTGACTGTGGTAATAGGAGTACACAGGGGCCATTGAGAAATGACTTTAATTCTCATAATCATCATGTTCCTGAGTTATTCGACTTCACTTCTTTGTCTCTCCACTTTGCAGCTTCTCCATTGTCCTTGCTTAACTTGTGAGAGTGCTTTGGCACAGCTTGTTATTTCACTCTGGTAATTGATGTCTCCTCCACCAGCTTCCTCTTTTTTCGTGGTGTTTTCTTCTTCCATAGAGGTTTTGGCCTGTGCCAAGTGCGACTTCTCTATGACCTTGCTGAACTATCCTTATAAATACGGCAGTTTAGGTGTTAATGGTGTTTCTTAACTGCTTTTTTGAGCTTGTTTTCAACCCAGTTTGACTAGCTTGAAGTAGTATGGCCTATCCAGTGAGATTAATGCTGCATGGCTTCCTGGTTTACGGCATTAGTGAATGTGGCAATGTGCCAGGGCTATTTAGATCGGAAATTGTAGGCCCTATCCGGGGAGTAATTGGTTATTTTCTTTTGAAATGATTTTGTCAAAATTCAGACTGATTTTGGCAAAATTGTAGGGTGAAGGAGAAAGCCTTTGGATCTTGTTTTTTTTTTAGAAAGCAAAATAGAGAAATAGGGACTAAGTAAGATTGGGATGAAAGATTAACAGCCAGGATGAGAGGAAACATTAAAACTTTGAATATGCAAAGGAGGTATACCAGCTGAGATATGGCAATAAGAGGGTTTGGATATGTGTTGTTTTATCTCTGGACCTACAAGATTGAAATTGTAGAGGCAAGTACAGCTGTGTATTCCTTTAATGCGTGTTCTGAGTTGAAATTATCATCAAAATTACATTTTATTTGTCTTTTTACATAATTTTGTCCAAGCCTTTTGCTTTACACTAAACTCACTATAATGCAGTAGGGAAGGTCATGATATAATATCCTGGTAATCTCTAGTTGAAAGTGCAGTGAACATGCAAACAAGCTGCACATTCTCATAAATGACATTTTGGTATATTGTTATAAAACTGACAAAAAGGACTGAATTATGAGAGAATTTATAAGTGATTCTTCTGTTGTGGAAAAAAGATCCAACTTGCAAAAGATAGTGGTCTCTTTAGACTGTAATGTGCAGAGTGATATGACTGCTCAGTGCTCATGATGACTGTAGTCAGCAGCAAAGATAGACAGACATATTTTCCTTTTCCTTAAATATGAAAATAATTTGGGAGGATTAAAAATAACACTCTTAGCACCACAAATGGCTAAGTTTACAATTAATAAAGCACAGGGTCATTAATTAATCAATTATTAATAGAAGACTGAGCAACTGTGCAGCTATGAATGTCATGAATGTGAATTACAGTAGAGGAAACATTCATGCTCATTGATGAGAATCTCTGTTCTCTTGCTAGTCTTACAGCATTGTTCAGTGATGAGATGAAGCAAAGACACAGGGATACTGCCTGCTGCAGTTACCAGCGAGATGTTGTGTGTGCAGACGCTGCCTGGAGCAGAAGAGAGAGTTAAAGAGCATATGAGATTGGGCTAAAAGAAAGCAAACACAGACTCAGCCCTTAGGCTGCCAGAGGCTTGCTATGTGCTATGACAAGCTGTAGTTTACACCAGCTTTTTCTTACAGTAATATTATGGATACACAGACACCTGCAGCTTTAAAGTTTCAGTTTATTGCAACATTGGGTGTATCTTACAGTAATAGGTTTGGCAGTTTCTTAAAGTTATGATAACAGTGAACTCAAGTAATGGCTGAGATCTGGGAACCAGCTATGACAGTAAGGCACAGGCTGTGAACAAGAGTTTAGTCAGATGATTTAAACATTCACTGCAATTGGAGGTAAAAACAAAAAACCAAAGTGGGCATACCTGAATTGCAACTCACAGTTTGACTTACCTAGGGATTGTTTAAAACACGCATGATTGTCCGATGCTCTTGCCCTCCTCGAGAACTTAATGGAATATCATCATATTGCTTTAAAGGTGATATTTTTTGAATGAAGAGGTGCATGTGAGCTTCACTATCACACCATGTGGAACAAGTCCGCACATTGAGAAGAAGGGAGAAACAGACTTTTCAGTTTTTTAATTTGTGCCTACTGTAATCAGCGCCAAGGCTTCAGCCCCTTGGTGGTCTCACAGAAGCTCAGTGTGGACCATCTGTCCTCTGTGTCCGCTGACTTTTTAAAAATCCTGCATGTTTATGTCAGTGGCAGCAAATCATCACCACTGTGGGGGGGTTTGCAATTTTGAAAAGGGTTTCATATTGGAGGGCTGATCATCAAAGGCTAATATTCAACTCCCTTGAGTCCAATCAGGCTTTGAATCTGGCTGCACCACATCAGTGATTAAAAGAAGGAAGTTCTCTCTGAATATTTCAGGAAGCCAAGCTGTTAGATCTGCAAATAAAGCTGCTTTGTTGGTAATTCAATTAATAAATCACTTTTGTTTTTCCATTTAAAAAAAAGGAAAAAACAAGCAAGTACTAAATAGTAATGAGTCTGGGTTTAATAGATAACCTAGACTAATTTAAAAGCAATTGCTTATTGACAGGAATGTCAGCAGTGAAAAAAAAAGCAGTGGCTGTTACAGTGTCTTTGTTTGAGCCCCTCATTGGCCAAGAGACGCTGACCACAAACTGCAACATCCCTGGCTCGACCCCGACTGGGGACCATTGGTGCATGTCATTTCCCATCTCTCATTCCCGACATTTATTTTTTCACATTTCTCTACTATTCTCAAAGAATGACCGAAGAATATTCATAGGTATGTTTTCTTTAGTGTATAATCACCTGAAAATAGGATTAGAAGAATTAGAAGAATGAACTGTTTTTATCTACAGAGGGAGCGGGTCCTCTTCCATCTATGTCCCCATGTTGAACCGCCATGTTTCTACTGTA